CTATCTTATATTTGTGAGTTTAAGGTTTTATATCTAACTTATCTTTTATCATAACTGAGGAAATTACAACTATCTAGTTTTCAACCATATCAAAGACCTGAGAAGAAAAATAATGGTACCTGAGAAATGGTAGATGGATGCAAGCAACTTTCTGGAATCTTGCAAGAGTAGACCAAGACAGATGGCAGCCTGGATAGTCACCTAATGTTTCTCAGCATTGTTGGTGCATTCAAATTGGCTACAGGCCTAGAGTATCTGACAGACCATTTTCATAAGCAGGAATTCTGAAAGACCATCTTACCCTGTTTTGGTAGAGTACAGTGGTCGCTTTCCTTGTGTCCCGCTTGTCCAGAAAGGACAGCATTGCATTTGTACTGTCAGCCGTCAAGGCAAGGGCAGTTCTTTGCCCAGTAGGACATTTTGTGCCAAGAAGACAAACTTCCCAATGGAAATGTCTTAGAAGCCCAACATTCTCTTGGGATCGCCATCAGTGTTTTATTTATATAGAGTGATATCCACAACAATTGAATAGGTATTTTGTTGGTTTGCAACATTCATAATATCAAACAATCTTACAAATCTATAACATGTTATTTTTAACTTTTAAACTACATTTGAAACATGAGTTCTTTCAAGAAATAGTCTGATTTGGATTCTTTCTTTCAAACATGTATGAGAAGGAATTAAGAACAGAATAACAGTTTATTTTATTCCAAAGGATGTAAGACTCCAAAACCACAAGCATTTTTAGACAATAAATAACATCAAAACTACCAGAAAAAAAGAGAAACCATTAGAAAAAAAACTATTGTTTTCTTCCTCTTACCAAGAATAGTTGTTTATTTAGTAAGACAGGGATCCTATATAATACCTGTAAGGTCTATTAATAGTGAGCAGTGTTTGGAAAATTGTGATTATTTACTCTATATCAGATTTCTAAGTTCTCACTGCCATATCAATAAAAATGTATGGCTCTTCTTTAAATGATTTGGGGGGATTATAATTACATCTTTTTCCTCTTTCCTTTCCTCTCTCCAAACCCTCTCATGTACCCCCTCCTCTTTCTTCTTTAATTGTTGTTACATATATATATGTGTATATCTGCCTTAATGCATAAATGCAACCTGTTCAGACTGTATGTATGTTCTCAGGACTGACCACTTGGTATCAGATAACCAATTGGTGTGCTCTTCCCTGGGAAGGACTGTTTCTCCTCCTTTCAGCATTTCTGAGTTGCCTGTAGTTTTTTTGTGAAGGGCTGGGGTCTCATGGGATTTCTTCCATCCATGTTACCATGTCTATTCATGTTGTGCTTGCTGAGGTCATGTTTAGGCATCCATGTTGGTGAGACTTTATGGGCACAGCTTCTGACATTTCTAGGAGACACAGTCTCAGAGCAAATCCCCTTCCTGGTCGTCTGGCTCTTAACACTCTTTTTTCTCCTCTTCGACAACCATCCCTGCGCCTTAGGTGTAGGAGCTGTGCTGTATATTTATTTACCGGTTGGGACTGGACTCTAGAACTGCATTTGGTTTCCTTCTATTGTTGCAAAGAGAAGTTTCCTTGAGGAGAGGTGAAAACCTCGCTGATCTGCAGGTGTAAGGACAAATGTTTGGAATGTAGTTAGGGGTGATGCTGGTTTAGTAGCTGATCTGCAGGTGTAAGGACAAATGTTTGGAATGTAGTTAGGGGTGATGCTGGTTTAGTAAAGTGGCCATTGTAGGTTCTCCTCCAGGTTTCACAACTTCATAGGTCCTGAGTGGCTGGCTAGGTTTCCAGTATCAGGCATGATTTTTTTTCTGTTCGAATACATCTTAAGTCCAAGTAGAGAGCTGTTGGTCACTGTCAAGGTGTGTGTGTACTACTGCACCAAGGTATGCGTGTACTACTGCTACGTGTTGTGATTTGTAGGCATCATAGCTGGAAGGGCTGGTGGTTGCTTCCCTCCTTTGGAAGCTTGTGTGGCGCCTTCTGGTACTATGAAAGCTAGTCCTCATGGAGGAGGCTTTCAAGTCAGTTCTGGCTGAGGGGCCTCTGAGCCCTGTGTCTGATATACATGGTGTCTTCAGAAACAGGGGCTTACCTTTCATATCTGGGGAAACCCGAGGGAAAGAGCAACTTGTAATATTTGGGGAATCTTTGGACAACCCTAACAAACAACTCAAAAGGGGGAGAAGGGGGCTTCTCATGCCTGGTGTCAGGGTTTTTGTTAAATGATCTATGGCTCTCCTGAGGAGTACTGCCAGCCCAGATTAAGTAGGTATTTTTAAGAAGAT